ACAAGATTTTGTTAGAATATTTGTTAAATGTTTTTAATTCATTGATGTCCAATAAGTTTGTTCATTGTGATAGTGCTTACACTTTATGATAATTTATTGAAGCACATCAAGGGGACTTGGAGGCGATTCGACGAGCTTTGGAGGATCTCGCTTCAAGATTATATGGAGCATCATGCATACGGACACTAGGTGATAGCCCTAATGATGTTTGCGAGTTCGAATCCATTAATGATTTATCTAGTGATGAACTTGCTTGTGCTTCTGAAAGATTATTGCATGCCTATAACAAATTGCATAAAGATTTTATTGATATAAAAAGCAAGCATGTTAATTTAGAATCCGATCATGAGTTGCTAGGTTCCAAATTTGATATCATTGCAAAAGAAAATACCTTGCTTAAAGAAAACAATGACTTATTAAATTTGAAAAATGAAAATTGATCTCATCCATTTCTAGCTTAACTCATGAAAGAGATAATGCCATGTTAGAAGTAAAGAACATAAAAAATAATACTGCTTCTTTTATAGAGGACTATATATGTTCTACTTCTAATAAAAATGCATATGTTCCAAATGATGAGTTGAATGTTGTTAAAAATCGTATTTCATCTTTAGATTCAACTTTGAAAATATGCATTGATAATCATAAGAAGCTTATGGATATGTGTGCCAAGTCTAAGTCAAAATCATCTACTTATTATGCACATATATATAGCAAAGTTTACAAGTGCTCTATTTGCGGCGGTAAAGGCCATTTAGCTAAATTTTGCTATGATACACACAAACATAAAAATATCAATGCTCCTTGTGCATCTCATCTAGTTTCTTCATCACATGTATACACACATGCACCCATTATTCATCATAAGCATGCTCATGTGTATAAATGTGATCATTGTGGTCGTTTTGGTCATTTGGCCAAGTATTGTTTTGATTTGAAAAAGAAATCTCATTTGCCAAATGTTTCTAGTAGACCATATGTTTTTAAATGTGATGTTTGTGGTAGGTTTGGACATCTTGCTAAATTTTGTTTTGATGTGCAAAAAGTTTCTATTTTGCAAAATGCTCCAAAGAAACCATCTCTGTTTAATAAAGTTTCTCATTTGCAAAACAATTTAAAAGAAAAATCTTTATTTGCAAATGGTTCCCATGCACGGGCTAATGGTCCACAAAAACAAATGGATATCTTTCATTGCATAAATTGCAACCGGAAGGGTCATTTGAGTGATTATTACTTTGACTGTGTTAGTGCACCACATGTGCCCAAACAGGTTCATAACCCTAGGGTCATGTCCCTAAACTTTTTGGTACCAAGAATACTTGGGTACCAAAACAAATTTGATTTTTAAACCAAGATTTTTAGCATTTGTATTTATTTTTTTTCTTGGTTTTGAAAATTATGCTTTCAAATTTTTAAATATGAAAACAATTTTTATTGATTAATTCTTTTTTTTCATAATTATTAGTTTTGATTTTGATGAGAGGTTTGTGTTTATATAACCCCTTGGGTTTATTGGGTGTTTATTCCCAAATATTGTTTACCGGGTACTAATAATCTCTATATGGGTTGAGACAAGCTTAAGAGCTTTATATGAATGCCTCTCTTATTTTTTCAAAATCAATGGTGGTTTGGTTTTATATTATTATATGATTTAAATATTGATTTATGATTTCATTTGAGTGATTTATTTTCATTTGAAAACTTTTTCTCATGATTCTCATGTTTTTCATTCTTTTTTATTTCATAAATCCATACATTATTATGATTTATTTTGAAAAAATCCTTTCTTGATTTTGTTTCTTCGTCCCCCTACCTATAAGCAAATTATTTTCCTTCATGTATTCTCCTTCATAATTTTTTTAATGATGCCTTTTTGGATCCTCATTTTATCTCCTTGGGGCAAGAATGATAAATGTTTGGTTTGTATATATATACATCTTGAAATCTTCGTAACACCCTTCATGATGTTATATATACATATGTGTTCTTATTGATCTTTTGCATGTGAGTTGTGTTTAGCATGTCTTTCATCTTGCTTGCTCACATATGTATACCTTTGTATTCATTTCATACTTTTATGAGGCATTTTGATAGGGGGAGTCTTCCCTATTCTATTTTTGTTCTTATACTCACACATGCATATTGATAGGGGGAGCTTTCGCTCTCTTCATCATTTGTCCCCTTTTTGATGTTGTCAAAGGGAGAGAAATATTATGAGTATATTCTTTTTGGTTATATGCATGATTATTATTATTTGTATATTCATTCCCTTCATGCATATATATATATCTTTTCGTAAATTGTTTGTTATCATACAAAAGGGGGAGATTGTTAGCCTCTTTGTTTTGATGATGTTTAACAAACAATTTTTACATCTAATATTGTTTGTCTAGTATTTGTGTTTTGTATTCATTGTAGGCAAACAATATGTTGGAGGATAGATGGAATCGAGCTTTCACGATCATATCCAATGAAGGTTGGCGGAATTGTAGTATGAAGCATTGCAATTCAAGTTGAAGATCCAAGTTCAAGCTTCATCCTCAAAGTGTACCAAGTCAAGCTTATTGAAGATCAAGATTGCTTGGGTAACATTTAGTTTAGGTGTTATATTATGCGTGTTAGTACTTTAAGCTCAATCATATACACACATACACATTTTGGTTTTGTATACATATAGTTATATATATACATATATGTTTTGGTTTGATAGTTTTCAAGTTTTAATATGAAACAATTGAATATAATTAGAAAATATATTTTTGTTTCATTTTATTTAGTTCAATGAAATCATATTTACTTTTGAAATGTTTGCAAAATATGTAATTTTGTGAAAATACTATTTTCTTGGTTTATGGACTTAATAACAATCATATACATCTTTTATTAAGTCTATATAATTATTTTATAATGTTTCAAAACAGGTTAAGCTAAAATGTCAAAACTCTTATGTTTACATTTTTATGTTTTAAACTATTTTGCAAAATGATGATATTTTCATTTGGGAGGTCCTTTTTAAAAACAGTTATTGTAGCATGTTTATTATCATGTCTACAATCATTTTCCAAAGTTTTATAGTTTTCTGAATTTGTTTGATATTTTTAAACAGGGTTTCAATATCAAAAACTGTTTTCAAACCTGTTTTTCTCATGTATCAGTTTGCGGTCGACCGTCACGGTCGACCGCCTTGAGTCCAGAGACTTAATATGTTTTTTAGTGGCTCCTGATCGATCATGACGGTCGACCGGATGAAGTCCAGAGATTTTTGCAGTCGACCGTCACGGTCGACCGGCTATTGTCCTGAGCCCAGATTTTGTTTCTGAGCTGCTCGCGGTCAACCGCGCGTTTTCCACGGTCGACCACCGATGTTACCGTTGGCTGGTAATAGCTAGTTCCTGAGTTGTTTTTCTGTGGGCCTTTGTGTCATTTGAGTGAGGTTTTTGCTGAAGTTTTGGGTGGCTATAAATACCCCCTTGCTCTCATCCTTCATATCCATCTATTAGAATGTTTTAAAAGAGCTTAATAAGGGTTTAAGCTTGTTTTGAGTTTGTTTAAAAGAGTGTTTAAGAGTTTGTTTGTGAAGAGAACTTCACAAGAGCTTGAGGAGATCATCAATCTTGTTTAAGCTTTAATCTACATCCCTCCTCCCTTGATCTATTGAGAAGTTTTCTAAACTCTACTTCTATCTCTTTTATATATTTGATTATCATTATTATTAAGCTAGAACTATATTGAGTTTAGTTTTGATTTATATCTCTTTGGTCACACACAACCTATTGAGCTTATTGTTTTTACATTCATAGTATAATTTGGGGTTGTGGGTTTGTGACTAAGAGTTGTGCTTAATTGAGTTCTCGTCCATTGAAGAGAACAATCATTGTTGTATTTGTGAGCCTAATTGTGTAAATCACTTTGTAATACAATTGTACATCGAGAGGAATGTGTGGTGAGAGACGGGGTTGTCCCAAGAGGAGTGCAGTAGGTGGTAATGACTAAAGGTAGGTTATAATTCCTAACACTTGAGGGAGACACGGACTAGAGACCAACACTTGTGAGGGTGTAAAGTGGGATTACAAGAGTGTGTGCTTGTAAAGTTTTCGGTTAGCTAGAAAATCGAATTGTGGGGGTGTAAACGTTATTCGGGTGAGCGTAGAAAACCCGGTTGTGATAGTGAAGATCTCCTCGAGGTGAGGAGCGGAGACGTAGGTCGTGGGGACCGAACTCTGTAATCATATCATTTGTTTGTGATTGCATTGACGCACTTATCTTTATGTTTATATCTTATTTCGTCTTTGTATATTGCTTGTTGTTTATATTCCCCACTAGATCACTATCTAGTTTAGATTATTTACCCTTGTGTTGTTTGTATATCCTCGCATATATCTCATAGTATATCTCATTGCTAGGATATTTCCCTTTGTTCATATTGCATATTCTTGCTCATAACATATTATATATCTATATTGCAGGAATAATTTATTTATAAGTTTTAATTGGCATAAAATCAGATTAGATTAGCATAAGATCATAATCCCCCCCTCTAGGGTCTAACATCTTCTTCTAGGGTTTTAGAGAGGAAAAAAGAGGGTTTTGGTGGTGGCTAAAAGATATCTAGATCCGAGATCTTGAGGAGAGAAAAAGAGAAAGCTTGGAGGGATTTTACAAGAGAGAGGTCTATTTCTTTTGGGTAAAAATCAAATCTTCGCTTAGAAGCAAAAATCAAGGATACTAAAATCCCTGCTATTGCTAAGAAGATTGCTATCAATTGGAATTCGTCTTCAAATGTGTCTAATTCTGAAAAGGCCAGAATACTAATTTTATGGGATCCTGATATTCTGAATGTTCAAATAACAAACATCTCTCCACAGCAAATAACTTGTTTTGTTAAATCTGTGGATGGAAGAATTGATTGCATCATTTCTTCTATATATGGTTTTAATCACTAGGAATCTAGGAAAGCTCTATGGACTGAACTTCTTTAGATTCATCAAACTATTGGAAATATGCCATGGATTCTCTGTGGAGATTTTAACTCCATGTTAAATAATGATGAAAAACTTGGAGGATCAATGCTTTCTGATACAGACACAAAGGACTTTAATTCTTTCATTGAGGATTGTAGCCTTTTGCATCTTAAAACCCTGGGCAGTTTCTTCACCTGGAACAATAGACATGATCATGAAACAAGAATCTGGTGCAGATTAGACAGGACTTTAGTGAATGACTCATGGATCAACAAATACAACTCTAGTCATGTGGAGTTCTTGGCCCTAAATTTTTCAGATCATTCACCTGCTGTGGTATCTATCTATGATGAGGAAATACAAGGGAAAAAGTCTTTTAAATTTTTTAAAATGTGGACAAACCATAGCAATTACCTACAAACTATTATTTCTGTATGGAGCACTAACATTGCAGGTTTCACAATGTATTCAGTATTTGCCAAGCTCAAGCTTTTGAAGGGGGCACTGAAGGAACTGAACAAGAAACATTTTAGCAACATTTCTGAACAAGTTCAAAGGGATAAGTACGCTTTAGAGGACACTTAAAAAAAACTGCAAGATGATCTTTTCAATCCACACTTGATCAGTCATGAAAAAGAATGCTTATCTATTTACAACTATCTCCTGAACTGTGAGTTGTCTTTCTATCAACAAAAAGCTAGGATCCATTGGAGCATTAAAGGAGATAGATGTACCAGTTATTTCCATTCAGCCATCAAAGCAAATAGGCACCAAAACAGAGTTGTGGTTCTTTGCAACAGCTAGGGGGTAAGAATTACTGAGGGAAAGGAAATTGTCAATGAGCTTCTCTCCTATTACAAGAACCTAATGGGAAAGTCTAGTATAACATCAGCTCCTAGTCACAGGATTATTCAAAATGGTCCATGTTTAAATGAAAATCAAATTGGGACCTTATCTACTCCAATCTCCAAAGAGGAAATCAGATGTGTTGTGTTCTCCATGCCAGATAATAAGGCCCCAGAGCCAGATGGTTATGGTGCATCTTTCTGCATGGCCAATAATTGGAGATGAGATTACACAGACTGTTGAGGATTTCTTCATTACAGGAAAAATGTTGGGAGCAATCAACTCAACCTCTATCACTCTTATCCCCTGTTGAGGATTTCTTCATTACAGGAAAAATGTTGGGAGCAATCAACTCAACCTCTATCACTCTTATCCCTAAGGTGCATTGTCCAAATTCTCCATCAAATGTTGGGAGCAATCAACTCAACCTCTATCACTCTTATCCCTAAGGTGCATTGTCCAAATTCTCCATCTTACAAGCTAATTTCCTGTTGCAATAGTCTCTACAAAATTATATCCAAAATCCTTGCTAACAGGATTCAATCTGTTATGGGGCATCTCATTAGTGAAGCCCAAAGTGCCTTTGTAAAAGGAAGACACATTACAAACAATATTCTGTTAGCTCATGAGTTGGTTAAAAACTATGGCAGGAAACACATCTCTCCTAGAGTCATGATAAACATTGATATTAGAAAGGCTTTTGATATTATCAATTGGAAATTTATAGAGGAGATGCTTAAAGGCTTGGGTTTCCCAGAAATGTTGATCAACAGAATCATGACTTGCATCTCTACCCCTAAATACTCCATCTCACTTAATGGTTCACTCCATGGATACTTCAAGGGTGAAAGAGGATTAAGGACCCCTAAATACTCCATCTCACTTAATGGTTCACTCCATGGATACTTCAAGGGTGAAAGAGGATTAAGGAAAGGTGACCATCTTTCCCCATATTTGTTTATTTTAGGTATGGAGTACCTTTCAAGAAGTCTTGACTCTTTGAAGAATGACAGGAGCTTTAATTTTCACCCAAAGTGTGGAAAGCTTAAAATAACTCATTTGATCTTTGCGGATGATTTATTGATGTTCTGTAAAGGTGACATTGGCTCTGTTCAAAGGCTTTATCAATGTTTTGCAAACTTTAGTGCTGTTTCAGGACTTGATGCCAATCCTAGTAAGTGTGCAATCTTTTATGGTGGTGTTGAGGAAACTATAAAAAATACAATCCATGATTCTTGGGGTTCACTGAGGGGAAGTTTCCTATCAAATACCTGGGGGTTCCTTTAGTGTGCAAAAGATTACCTTTACAAGACTGCAGTTTTCTCTTCAGCAAAATCACAAATCAATTTAATAGTTGTATGAAGCTCAAAAACCTGTCATATGTAGGAAGAGTGCAAATAATTAAAAGTATCATTCTTGACATTCAAATCTATTGGACATCAAGTTATGTTCTTCATGTTAAAGAACTCTAGAAAGTTGATGAACTCTGCAGAAACTTTCTTTGGGGAAAAAATGATTTAACTTTCAAAGCACCTCTGGTTTCATGGGACAAAGTTTGCATTGGGAAAAAGTATGGAGGTTTAGTAATCTTCTCTTCTATTATCTGGAACTTTGCAGCAGCTGTGAAGACTCTATGCGATATACATAAGAAGAAGGAACTCCTTTGGATCAAATGGATTCATGGTACGTATCTAAAACACATGAATATTTGGCAAGTGAAAATGAAGAGAGGAGATTCTTGGATGTGGAAACAACTTTTGAAAGTTAGAAATAGAGCTGTGTATTACTGTGGTGGAGTTGGAAATTTAGAAAACTTGATCAAATCATGTTCCAGGAACTCAAAAATTAAACTGTCGGAGCTCTATCATGCACTATCCCCAGCTACAAATAAGGTATCATGGAGCAATACAATTTGGGAGAGTCTTAACTACCCTAAACACTCTTTTATCTCGTGGTTAGCAGTCCAAGATAGGCTGTTAACACAAGATAAACTGTTGAAAAGGGAGGTTATTCAGTCAAACCACTGTGTCCTGTGCACAGGAACAGAAGCTGAGAATAGAAACCATCTGTTTTTTGATTGTAAATTTTCTCAAGATATATGGAATAAGATCATGGCTTGGATGCAATTCAAATGGAGAAGTTGTGATTGGAACCGACTAATGACCTGGTTTAGTTCCAACTTGCGGGGGAAGGGTTTCAAGGTCAGAGCTAAAAGAATGGCTCTCTCCTCCACAGTTTACACTATTTGGATGAAACGCAACAGGAGGATTTTTCAGGGAAAGTTCTGTGAAGTTGAGCATCTTATCAAGACTATCAAAATAGATTTGATGACAGTGATTCTTAATTGCACTTTGCCTGCAGATTACAAAGAATGGATACTCTCCTTATAACCTCTGCAGGGTTTGGTTTCACTGTTGCAGCTGCTGAATATTTCGGATACGCTAAATGGCATTGTTTGTATTTTTTTCATAGATCACTCAGTTTCTTGAGTTCTTGATGTACATAAACTTCCATGCGGTTTAATGAATAAAAGCATTCATTGACAAAAAAAAAAAGAAATCAAATCTTCTTCTTTTATGACGAGCTTGTGGATTGTACAAGTCGTCGGTATTCTCCTCATAGTGGAATCTCCCCTCACCCCTCTCGTGGACGTAGGCACGTTTACTGAACCATGTAAATCTCGTGTCTTTACTGTTTTCTGGGTTTTCATATTGCTTGTAGGTTCCCTCGACAAGTCAGTCTTAGAACTGATGAGAGGAAGAGTGTATATTTCACTTTGTTGAGATATTTCACTTTCTATTCTTATTTCCTTTGTAAAACGGGAATATAGAGGTAGGCTTGAGCTTTTGTTAAAACAAAAGTCAGGGCTTTCTCTTAGGCTATATCCGTTCCGCGGCGTGAGGGCGTGACTCTGCGCCCAATACTTTTAATCTTTTCAGGTAGAAGATTGGCGGCCAACAAAGTATTCGTCCTTTCGAGTCTTGCTATATGTGTAATGAGATCTTGAAATGTACTCACCCCAGCTGCGGATAAAAATGGAGCCATGGAATTATCAATGTTTCCCATGAGCAAGCTCACAGTTTGCATTTACTCTAAATTTTGCTTGCATTTGATGCCTCAATTGCTTCATCTGGTGACATAATCCAAGATACTTTCATCGCTCTTGCATTAGGTATTGTCTCCAAAGACCTTCGATAATGTCATCCTTGTCCTTTAATTATAATGAATAATGGATCTTCCTCATTGCTATTTTCCTCCATAATAGTGGAATTTTTGTTTTTATTCTCTCCGTCAATTTCTGTACCCTCGTCTTGATTTGCATATGTATTTTTACGGGATGAGCTGCTTACTTTTCTGCTTCTACTTACTTGTCCTGTGTGCTAGACCATCTTCATCCGTGCTTTTGACGGCATACATAATATGTACCGTATATTTCTCTGTAGCACCTTTCTTCACTGTCCTCTTCTTCCTTGCTGGAACAACTGAAGAAACTTCCGTGGCTGGACTTTTTTATTTTTGCTGAGATGTAGATGTAATGCCTTGAATTTTTCTAACCTGCTTTAATGCTTGGTATATATCATGAATGATAGAGTTTCAAATTCTTTCTTAGATTTTTTTTCTTCCCCAAGTCATGGCTATCTTGAAAGCATCCTTGCGAATATTACTACAGTAGCACTCTTCTAAACATATTTTAGTGGTTTAAAAGAATTTTTTTCACAAGAACTACTGGCATGACAATCTTGTTCGAGTTCTGTTTATCTTGACGGCTATCAATATTGGTGGCTTTTGAAATGCTCGATCATCCGTTTGAAGTTTTCTCATCAACTAGTTCCTTTAGAGTCTCAATATTTTCGATGGGAGTCGATCTGTCAAAAACTGACTTTCTCTTGTTAGTTCCCTTGTTGACGGGGTTAGACAGCCATCCAAAAACTGACTTCTGCTCGATAGTTAGGAAAGTAAGTCTTTCAAATATTGATTTCCACTTTGGGTATGAATTTGACGGGCTCTGAACAACCACAATTGATCTCTTATCTCTTGAAGGAAGCTTGGATGGTTTTGATGAGTTTTCAGTCTTAAGAGATGTAGTGCGTGCAAATGGTTTATTCCTGCTTCTAGTAGACTATAGCCGCTACACAATTGATAGCTTCTAGAATAGTCCCAAAGGAGACCGATGATAAGTCGGTACTAGGGTGCATTCGGTCCGGATACGGCTCGGATATGATGCTTATCATATCCATATCCGCTTACCCATCTCGGATACGGATACGGATATATACCTCGGTAAGAAAAATTTATAACCATATCCGCTAAAATCGGATACGGTTATGGATCTACATGCGGATATATAAGCGGATATGCATGCAGATACAAAACAGATATGAGAAAACTAGATAGTATTGAGAAAAACATAGTTCATGTGATACAAAAGAGTTTGTTAATATGTCCATTATAATTAAAAAGTTAAGATTAGACATCTTGATCATCAAAATTAACCACAAATCCATAATTTAAGAATCGAAACTATCGTAAGAGTATGACTAATATGTATTCGGATATTTCGGATACGGATACGGATATTTCGCTACAAAACCATATCTGTAACCATATCCTATCGGTTATAGATTTGAGTATCCATATTCGTATCCTAACGGATACGGTTACAGATATTTTCTAGGATACACATACGGTTTAGCACCCCTAGTCGGTACCCATTACCGTTGGGGGGTGTCACGGAGCCC